AGCCCTGCGGGAAGGGTTGGATCGTGGGCGCTGAAAGACTAGAAAGCAGAGTGGAGCTGCCATCAGCGGGGAAAGCTAAGTAACAAGGAAAAGCAGAAGCTTTGAAGTCGTGGGCCCCGCCTGGAGCCAGAGCGCCTCTTGTAACATCGCATTAAATGTAATGAAATAAATGTCGGAATGCAGCGTGTCCCTGTGAGGACCAGAGTCAAACAGATGTCGCCGCCGCTTCCTCGACCAGCCTGCCCTCATCCTGGGCATCCAGCCCCAAAATGAGAGCAATTATTCTAATTTGTTTTATTGCATTAGCGTGGGCAGTGCTGAAGAAAGGGGCTTTCTTTCCCGTGCCCGTCACCCTTCATGCGAGACTAGGAGGGCAGACCTCTGACTCCGCACTGGGGCGCCATGGGAATTTTTGGAAAATGATGTCTGTAGTGTCTGACCTCTGGCCCCCAGCTGCAGCCCCCACACCAGCCACGTCCTGGGCTGGACTCCTTAGCAACTCTGCGCTCCTGTCTCCCACCATCTTTCTCAGCACAGCCCGTGGCGGGAACACATCACTCCTCCTCGGTGGCTTAGCAAGGCACCAAGACCTTCATGCTGCGCCGAGGACTTCAAAGTTCTCTCCCGCTCCTTGCAGCCCCTCATCAGTCTGCCACTTGCCATGTCCTCATGATAATTTTCAAAGGATCTCCAGGACTGGGGGGTGGGGGTTCGTGCAAAATAAAACTACAAAATCAGCATTAGCAGCCTCTCTTCCCACGGCTGACGGCCACGCTCACCGTGTGCACACACACACCCTGTCCCAGCAGACTTCAATTTAGTCACACGTTGTTTGACAAAAAAAAAAGGAAGAAAAGGTATAGTACAATTGAAATCTCCTCCATCAGATGTCTAAGTTAAGGAAGTTATTAGCACAGAATAGCAAGTGAATTTGCATGGTGGAATTACTTGCTGAGAGGGCAGTAGCTTCTAGAAGGAAAAATGATTGTCTACAGAACATTTATGACAAATCTGTACTTTGAAGGCACCAAGCTGCCATGATCATCATCCTTTTAATTTTCCTCTAATTAAGCTATTAAGCCATGGGTTGCTGTTTGGGGTTATGTGGTGGTGGTGGTCTGGTGCAGTGGCAGCGTGTGATTTACATTTTGGGGTCTCCAGGGCTCAAATATTCGGCCCCTCACCCTTCCCTCGCCTGGGCTGCCCTGGGCCTTGTGTCAGATGGGTGCAGAGCTGTGCCTGATATTTTGAAAGAGGCCTTTGCTAAAAGGCCTTGAAATACAAAAATCCCAGGCTCTGCCTGGCCAGTGTTTGTCGGGACATCACGGTGGCAGCCCCTTGCTCAGGCTGCCTGCACACCTGCCTCCACTTTTGAGAGTCTGGATTCACAGCCCCCTCAGGCTCTGCAGCATCCCCTCTGTGTGCTTGGGGGCAGCGTGTTCTGGGTACTTGGGGGGCAGATAGAGCCGCCCTAAAGCTCACGGGAATTGAATTCCAGGCCTTGAGAGAGTTCCTGGGCATTAATCCAGGCCCCCTATCCCTTGGAATACAAATCCTAAACTGGCCAGTTTTGGACTGAGTCATTGAATCATGTTTCCAGGTGAGAAGCTTTGTCCTCACAGTGCCGCACTGCTGGGGCCCAAGGTGACGTTTGTCAGGAGTTGGGGACCCGGGTTGGTCGTGCTTTCCTGCTCCAGCAGCTATGTAGAGGCCTTGAAGCACTTCAGATGCCGAGTCTGTTATTCCTGATCAGATGGCCATCTTAGGACAAAATACTTCAGCTTTTGGGTGCCACTGAACTACAAGGAAGTCTCCACCTGCAACCTGGAGTACATCGAGGTGACTCTTCCATGACAGCCAGAGTAATGGGCCAGGAGGGACAGCTGCGGGACCACTGCCCGGGCCAGGCCCTTCAGACCTCTCAGGGGTCCTGTGAGGCCTCAGAGCCGGTCTCACAACAGCACCGCCCACACCCTGAGACACACATCCCCCCCACACCTGCTCACAGGGCACTGGGCTCTCCTTTTGGCACTTGCCCAGGACAGGCTCTTCCCAGTTCGTTTCTCCTTGTGGGGAGAGGAGCAGCCCAGCAAGCAGTCCCTATGTCTGTATTTGGGGAGAAAGACCCTAAAGAGTCATGTCCTCCTGGGCACTGTCCCCGTAGCTTCCATTATCTTGGTGTTTTCCATGTTCAGGTGGGAGTCCTTCAGAAGCATGTCCTGGGACAGGTGGGCGTCCAGAGAGAAGCCTGTCTGTGCCCCCGGGCCACCTCTGCCACTCACTGCCTGGCCGAGGCACCTTCAGTTGGCCCAGAATGCGCCAGCATCCTGTGCGCTCCCTTCCCTGGCGGAAAGGGGCCCACGGACAACAGCAGGTCACCCAGCTCCATTCGGGCCTGTTCTTGGCCTGTCTGTGCCATTTTTCTCAGAATTAATTTTGGGCTGAAAAAGTCTCAAAGAAGTCTTTGTTCCTTTGACACTCACTCTGGAAGAAAAAAAGTCCGTGGAAAATCTGACATCTGCAGAGCAGTGCGAACCCCATAGATGGAGAGGAGTATAATTACCCTCCGCTCCTGAAAGAACGCTTCAGATTTTTAAGTGTCTCATATCAGCTTAGAATTTGAATGACATTTTAATTATTTTGTTTTTTTCTTCTTTTCCTGGTTTGAATCTCCAAAGAGTCCCACTCTTGGATCCTGGGGGGATGCTGGGAGCGGAGCGGTGCTCTCGGGGAGCGTCCCACGGTAGCGGCTGTGTTTTCCTGTCCTCCATGTGGCACGTTTCACTGGAAGCCAGCAGCTCCACCCACGTCGGTACAGGACAGGCCACACCATGATGGGGCTTGCTCGGATCCTGGTCCACAGCACATACTCAACCTTCGGAAGCTCTGCTTTTATGCAAACATGTCATGCAAAGCAGGAGTTCAAGATGGAGACTGTCTCTGGTGTTTTTCTGATCTAAGCAAACACAGTCTCCAGAAGACACAACTCTTGCTGTTCAGAGAATTTCATCCCATGAGGTTTTACAGCAGCGCTCTTGGGCTCTGCACACAGCTCCCCCAGGGATTTGGGGGCATAGAGCTGGGTGGGGGCCAGTGTCGAGGGTTTGGGCCACGCCACAGTGTGAACACTAAGACCCTAGAGATGCAGGTACTGCCTCCACAGTCATCCTTGGGTGAGGGGCTCGACATGACCAAGTACAGAGCCCCTTTGAGATATGACTGCAGACTGATGCCAGCCGTGGGTTGGGGTGTCACGTCTGGCCCATGTCCCACGGAAGCCAGGCTGGTGTTCATGTCCCAACTCCCTTGTGAGGTCTCATCCCTGCTCCTTTGGGTGTCGGTCACTGCGTCCATCCTACAGGGGCAGGCAGAGGCCTCGGTGTGGCTCAGCCTCTCCTGGCTCCTGCCCTCAGCCAGTCACAGCCTCCATGTTTCAAACACATCTGGACCTGGACACGGAGTTGCCTGCCCAAGTCATCCTGCCTGTACAGCCACAGAGGCCACTGCCTTTGCAGACCACACAGCAGCCAGAGAATTTGGGACTCGTCCCCTGACCCATCCCCTGCTCAGAGACTGCAGCCACCCAAGGTCCTTCCCGTGTGTGGAGTTTGGTTTTGTGTCAACCTGGCTAGGTAACGGTCCTCAATTACTCCCCAAACCCTGATCTCAGGGTTGCTGAGAATGTATTTTGTAAATGTGGTTAAAGTCCGTATCAGTTGACTTTAGTAAGGAAGATTGTCATGGACGGCCTGGGGGCTGGTCCAAGCAGCTGAGAGGCCGGAAGGGCAGAGCTGAGGCTCCCTGGATGGCAGCTGCAACCCCAGAGGCCAGCTGCGCTTCCTGACGGCCTCGCAATGGACCTTGGGCCTCATCGACCTGCCCCACCATTCCCCGTAATAGTCCTCCTGGTTCCATTTCTGTAGCTATGGCCAACGGTTGGATCTGGGCCCTGCAGGACTTCCCAGACCTTCTCGCCATGCCTCACATCCCCCTCCTGGGAGTCTGCACTGTTCTTCCTGCCTCCCACGGAGCTCCCCGCCTCTCCAGGGCTGCGCCCCCGCCCCCAGGCCACCCTGTCAACCCATCCACAGCTGCAGGCTCACCCCCTGCTATGAACTGAATGTCTGTTTCCCCAAATCCATGTGTTGAAATTCTGACCCCCATGTGACAGTGTTGGAGGAGGTGGGGCCTGATACCCGCAGTACCTTGTGGGGGCAGCCCTCACCAAGGAGATTCAGTCATGAGGAGGAGCCCTGTGGATGGGATCAGTGTCCATATAAACAGGCCCAGAGAGACTGCATGCCTCTTCTGCCAAGTGAGGACACAGCAGGAAGTCTCCTGTCTGCAGCTCGGAAGCAGGCGCCACAAGGCGAGTCCCTGCGCCATCCCATGGACTCAGGCAGCAAAGCGGCCACTGGGAGCCACCATCGGCTGAGCCCGGGGGTTTCCTCGTGTGCCGTGACACGGCAGCGCCCACTGCACATAGGGTGCATGTCCTCATCTGCCCCTGGGGCTGTGGAATCACTCAAGGTGCAGCCACTGAAACACTGTCTGTTCTTGTTGTCCTTAGGAGGAATGTGAGGACATCATGCTCACGGTGTCAGCGTGGGTTCATTTTAGAACGCACAGTTGCACTGTTGCAGTGATGCTCAGAGCTCTGAGAACAAGTTTTACAGAAAGCGCAGAGGGCGTTGACTTATGGAAAGGAAGACACTATTTATTTTTCCCTGTATCATTCATTTGTTAACTTTTAGTCCTCAAGAAAGGCCTGCATGTGCCTTTCACGAAGCTTTGTTTAAATATTACCTTTTAGAGTATTTTACCTGTAAGGAAAAGTCATCCCTCAGAGTTTCTTGCAACACCAGATCCCCAGCCCTTGTGGAAGGTTCGCTTCCCCATGGGGTCATCGTCACCCTCGGGAGGTTCTTCCTGTTCTGGTCATGGCATCCCCGGGCCCTGCCCCATGGCAATTGATGCTGTCTTCCTGTCTTCCTTGGCAGGGCCTGATCAAGATCCGGGGGGACCGGTGCTGGCGAGACCTCACCTGCATGGACTTCCACTACGAGGTGAGCAGCTTGGCTGGCCATGCCCTGCCCCAGCGCCACAGCCGTGCAGGGATGCAGGGACTCCCACACACCTGAGCTTAGCTCACCTGTCCCCATCTCTGCTCCTGGGGGCACTTGGCCCTCCATGCCAAGTAAGCCAGCCACCTCCTTTACAGACTCACCCCTGGTTTATTTGGGATGACCCTTCCTTCTCTCTCTGGGTGGGATTAGATCATGAGGTGGCTGGTAGAGCATTTCCCACTAGCCAGGGTTGGCCAGATGGGGCGTCAGGTCCTCCGTGGTGGCGAGTCCAAGTGGTTCCCTCTGGTTTGGGCCCCAGGTTCCTCTGCTGCTGTCCTCAGTCCTGCCAGGCCTGTGGACCAGAACACTCCCTGCTACAGTCTGCAGATCCCCCGTTGGGCCCCCCAGGGCACAGCAGAGTGGGGGCTACGAACCCAGCCACACAGCTGCAACTCCATCGTCCACCTGCACACAGGCAGGTGTGTGCCCCAGGGGCAGATGCAATCCCTGCTGTGCTCTGACTCCCTAAGGAAGGCCCTTACCCCACCTCAGCTCAGGTCTAGGTCCCTCTGGGCCTCCTGATCCTTCCAGCTGTGCGTGTGTTCCCACTGGGTACCAGGGGGTCTGGGAACGCATTGCCCTATGAGTTAGTCTGAAGGCATTTGACATCCTGGTGATGCTCCTGTTCAGTGTCCCCGCACGGAGCCTGCATTGTTCTGGGCAGTGGAGGGCTCCGTCCCATGTCCCCCGCTCATTGCTCGCAGCTTCTGTATGGGAACGCAGCCGCCACCTGCTTCTTTGCTGAAAAGCAGGTCCCCAGTGGCCTCATACCTGACATCAATCTTCAGTCCTGAACGTTCAGGTGCTTGATATCACCTCTGGACACAGAGGGGACGGTCCCTCTCACGGCCAGGCATCTTTTGTGCATTCACGTCTCACGTCATGTGTCCAGGGGCTGGGGTGTCATCATTTGTGCTTCCTCAAGAGGGACATCTTGACTTTATTTTTAAGGTCTTAAGAGCTCCCCACATTCCATCAACTGTGCCCCAGAGGCCCTGTCCCTTCCCTGCTGAGGGACCCACGAGTTCCTTTCTTTGTTCCAGAGCACATTGGCCAATGCCCTGTGAAGTACAGAGAGTAGGTGTTTTCGGCTCTGCGGGCCAGACAGTTTCTACAGCAGCCACTCAACACTGCCATGACAGGGACATAGCCCACAGGCACAGCGAACGAGCAGCCAGGCTGCATCCAGTAGATCTGTTCCCACAAACAGGCCACGGCCACAATTTGCTGCCCCTGACCCGAGGATGAGGTCCAGAACCCTTAGCACTAACAGAGAGCCCCAAGTGGTGGCCCCGTCCCTCCAGGCTGGGACCTTCCAGGCAAAGTTGCCCCAGCACAGGGCTGCAGGGGCTGCGGGCGCCGTGGGCACCAGTCATACAGGTCAGTGCTGGCGAATCTGAGAACCGTCCAGATGCAGATTTTAGTGGGAATGATGAGAACAGCCCATGCAACTGACCACCCCCCCACCAAAAAACAAACAGAAAAGAATGTCCACTCCACCAACTATTGCATTTTGTAGCCAGTGGCTCTGATCCAGATGTCCTGGTCTCCTCAGTAAATGTGGGTCTGCTCTGGGAGCCTGGAGCATCTCGGGGTCCTCACCCCCTTCTCCTGGGCCTGGCCAGCCAGAAGGGTGGGGGGCACAGTGCTCCTGGGGTGCAGGTTTCACCCTGTGGAAGCTGACAGCCTCTGCTGTGCTGCATTGAGTGCGCAGGCACGACTCTGGGAGCGGAAGGCCAGTGGCAATGGTTCCACGGAGGCTGTTGGAGCTGCCTGTAGCCTGCAAGATGCTAGTGGGCTGAGGCAGGTCCCTTCTGCCTGCAGTGGGTGCCTGGTCCTTCCTGCACCCCAAGTGCCTGGCAGCACCCTCTTGCAGTTGAGGTCTGTCCACTGCGTCAGCCGTCATCTCCACTGGCCCAGCGTCGGCCCATGCTGTGGACAGGAGTGTGGCCAGAAGGTCGGCCGGCTGGAGAGCACAGATGGACAGCAGCAGGCATGACTGTTAATATCTCCCACATTCCCACCCCCCCAGACCTCGAAATCTGACTTATCTGGAAAAAGGGTCATTGCAAATGTGATTAGTTAACGTGAGGTCGCCTGGACTCAGGGGCCTCATACCCAACGACTGGTGTCTGTCCGTAGAAGAGAGGAGGAGACCCAGACACGGGGGTCCAAGGGCCCAGGTGGTCGCATTCCAGAAGGTGCACCTGGGTGTGACATCACTGCCTGGGAAGGTCCCATTTCCAGACCTCATTTGTCACAACTCACAATGTGAGCTGCAGCGTGAGGACACGCAGAGGCCATCCCATCCTCACTGTGTGGCCCTTGGCCGTGGGGCAGGGAAGGAGGCTGCCTCGTGGCCCCTGTTTCTAGCAAACAGTGGGAATCTTGGCAGATGAGCAGCAGCCCCAGGAATGGCCAGTAAGCTCTCACTGACCTCCCTGCAACTAGCCAGGACTCCCTTTCCCGAGGGTGTCATGGGTGGCCTTTGGCAGTCATCTGAGGCCTGTCTTTCTGGTTAAAACTTTGTCATTCGCATCTACCACCAGCGTGTGTATTTGCTCTGTGTTCTCAGTCACGTGTCCCAGGCGGAGTCAGTGGTTTTGGTCATCAGTGCAACTCGAGAAGGCAGGTACTGAGCCATGTTCTGGAGACTGGTCCAGGCTGTGACATCAGGTGGCATGAGGTCAGGGTCATTTGGAACCAACGTACAAGGACAGGCCGAGCTGTGGCCATAGAGGACTGGAGCTCAATGGTCTGAAGGTCATACAGGATCCAGAGCTGGATCAAGCAGCTGGGAGGCCCTCAGAGCCACAGAGCCTGGTCCTCCTGCCAGCCACAGAAGCCTTCCCCGGGGGGTCTTGCTGCAAACCCACCACCCCGTGAACAAGGTTGGAGTGAGGGCGTCTGGCTGAGATGGAGGCAGAGCAGGAGCCCCCTCAAGTGTCCATGGGGGGATGGGTCCCGGGACACCCATGTATACCAAAGTCCATGTACACTCAAGTTTTACAGATGCCCCCCATAAGCCCACCTACACGAGAAGTATATGCAGGTCCCACATCCTGGGAATACTGTATTTTTGACCCATGTTGGTCAAAACACATCGCATGTGAGTGGACCTGCAAAGTCCAAACCCGTGTTGTTGGGGTCTGCTGTGCTGAGATGGCAGGCACTGTGCGCTCAGCTGTGACCCATCCTTTAGGTGGTCTGTGTCCTCCAGGCAGGGACAGTGGGCCATGCGGCTGCCCTCTGTGACGTGGACTCGGCCAGGCAGCAGGCACAGCAGTGGCCGAGCCCAGTCCAAGCCTAGAGCAGCAGGACCCAGGCGTGGGGGGCTGTAGGAAGAGTGGCTGATGGAGGCCTCAGGAGGGGCCAGGGAACCATGTCAGGGGTGGGATGAGTGTTCCACCACTCCCAACCGTCCCCACCCTCTCATCATGTGGCCAGTTCCTTTGGGGCCAGTGGGGTCCCTGGAGTCACCTCTATAGCATAAGGGCAGGTGAGGCTGGAAAGGGCTTCTTAGGATTAAGCTCTTCCCACCCCATCCCAGGGAATCCCAGGGGTATTAGAAGCTCTGAGCAAAGGGCCGGCCCGGTGGCGCACTGGAGAGTGCGCCGCTTGGGAGCGCGGCGGCACTCCCGCCAAGGGTTCGGATCCCATGTGGAGACCGGTTCCCGCTCACTGGCTGAGCACGGTACAGGCGCGACACCGAGGGTTGCGATCCCGTTACTGGTCAGTAAAAAAGGAGAAAAAAAAAAAAAAGAAGCTCTGAGCAAGGAGCAGGAGGGAGACTAAACATGTATGTCTCACCTTGTCACAGCACCACAGGGACTGAGCCAGGCCCACCAGGGCCACCTGCTCCTCATGGCACTGCCCACCATGGGCTTCTCCCACTTGACATCAGGGAATTCCACATCTGCGTGGCCGTGTGTTGCCCACTGTCCCGCAGCTCTGTCTCCTGGAGCGTGATGTCCACTCCGTGCCCACTGAGCCGTGGTCCTGTAAGTCTGTGACCACTGTATCTGGGGCCTGGATCTCAGCTCAGCGGCTGACTTCATGCTGCCCCAGCAAAGCCAGCCCTTTCCCACTTTGTGCCAGAGTCGCGACCTCGGAATCTCGTGTGCTGGGTGAGCTCCGGGCTCCACACCGCAGTGGTCTATACCTCGGCCAATGTGGCTACACCATCCACAAGAAATGCCCACAGGAGCACCTCGGCTTCTAGACACTTAACAGAGGAAGGAAGAGAGTGCAGCCTGGCTGCCAACGGCTTTGCTCTCGTTTGGCTGGCTCTGGATGGCAGCACTCCGCTTGCAGCAGCAGGAAAGGCCATTTGCAGCTAACTCACGTTCCCCTGTTAACCTCTCTGCTCTGTACAAATTAGTCAAAATTTGAACTTTCTAACCTTGCAACCATTGGTTATACAGATTTTTACCTTAAAATTTCTCTGTGTTGGACACATCACTGGCAAAAAACCCTCCACCCTGCAGCTTCATGGCTGGACTGTGACAAGGGTGCATGCGTTTCTGGTTCTGCATCTCACAGCCTAGCTGGAGCCCTGGTCGCCCCTGTGGGCCGCCTCTGCTGTGGGTTTGTGTTGGGTGTTGCAGATCTTCATGTAGCTCCTCTCTCTGTCTCTCTGTTTCTCTGTCTCTCTCTCTGTCTCTCCCTCCCTCTTCCCCCCTTTCCCCCTCTCTCCTTCCCCCTTCCTTTCTCTTGGGCTGCACATGAATGCATTAATAGAAGTTTATGCTGTTGCTTTGCTCCAAAATCTGCGCCAAGCTAACCTTTAACCCAGGGAAATAAATCACTTTCCATTCCTATTATCGGTAAAGTCCCATAGCCTAGCAAGGCATAAAAGAAGCCTTTGTGTCGTGTTAATTGAGTTTTTAGGTTAGAGTTTCAAGCCCATGGTAAGAACAGCTGACTTACAGGTCACTCAA